TTAGTATATAGATATGAGGGGGTCTTTAAAAGGTTCACTGAAAATGCATATTATGAAAATAAACTATGTACACATTTCAAAGACCTCATTTTGCACCCAGATAAACTCCTGCTAACTTGTTAAAACATGTCTGAAGATAGTGCATTTTGAGGCAATAAGCCGGGTAGGACGTACGTTTGAAAAGAACCCCCAAGGAACTGGTGTGTAGGTCACATCTGACCTCTGCCTGCTTCAGAAGAGAGCCCATTGCTTCTCCTCACCAGTTAAAAACTAACTCTACCTGAATTCTAGTCTATTTCTCTGCTGCACTCAGTAATATGTTGAAATGCCACACAGAACACCCATACAATATTCACAATTATGGAGGTTTATTACGAAAAGTACCATATCATCACAAGTTAGGATTAAAAAAAATACAGTAAGGATACAGTCTTTGGTTCACAACAGTGCTTCTCCTCAGTCAGTAGCCAAGTCTCTGGTCCTCAATCTCTCAGCCACAGGGAGTTTGGCCTCTGCTTTGTGTGGTAGGAAGCCTGCCCACTCTTCTACCTCATAGTCTCTTGGTCTCTGGTCTCATCCCTGGGGCCTCTGCTGCCTCCACCACTTCACATGGGGATTTTGAATGGGTTCCATGGGTGGCCTTATTTTCTTGATGGCCCTAGTCTTCTCCTCCCTCTTTCTGCTTCTGAGCTGGCTCTCTCATATTCAGAGGGATGCATAAAAATGGACCAATTCCTGAGTTAAGAGTCCTCTACAGTTTATTTGCATGTTCCCACCCAACCATTTGGGGAGAGGTAAGTTATAGACAAATGGATAGAAAGGCCATATGTACTTAATTTCACGTCATGACAGCCCTTATCAGAACAACACGAATTCTGCCAAAATTGAAGCAAAAGCCAGAAAATATCAAATCTATGATGAAAGCTTGGGTGGAGGATTGTTTTAAGTCACTGATGCTTTGTGAAACGTTTATGAGGACATTGCCCCAAAGAAACTAGCAATTTACAAATGGATAAATAATGTTTAAAAGGTGCTAAAGATGTTGAAGTTTAAGCCCTCAGCAGCCAACCATCCACATCCATTTATAAGGAAACAATTAACCTTCTTCATGCTCTAATTGAAGAATCAGAATTCAAACAAACAAATTCAGTCCCAATTGAGAGTCTGAGTTATTGTAAATCTTTACAAGATTAATTTTTTACCCCGAGAAGCAGCTGGTGGTTTTGAAATGTCAACATTGCTGTTAGCAGTCAAAAACTTACCTATCAGTGACACCAGGGCTTCTTTTATCGAAGAAGATCAACAATCAACAGTAGAAATAATAGCAAACATTATAGACTTCTCAACTTTGCCAGTTTACACAATTCTGACTGAAAAATCAAAGTTGAGCAAACTTTCTGCTTGATGGGTGCCCACACCGTAGCACCCTGATCAGGTATAGACAAGAGCTAAACTTTCAATTGAAGTTTTAAACAAATGGGATCAAAAGCCTGAGTATTTTTGGAAGAATTGTAACAGGAAACAAAACCTGACTTAACCAGTATGATAATGAAGACTAACACAATCAAAGTAATGGCTACTCTGAGGTGGAAGAGTTCAGTAAAAGTTAAAGCTATAAGGTCATGGCAATGGTTTCTTTGATACTTAAGGCATTTTTCTTCCCATCTCTCTAGAAGGCCAAAAAACCAATGATATTTGCTTATTAGGAGATTATTATTATTATTTTTTTTATCGTCCTTTTTTTTTTTCTTTTTTAACATTTTATTAGGGGCTCATACAACTGTTATCCCAATCCATACACACATCAATTGTGTAAAGCGCATTTGTACATCGTTTCTCAAAACATTTTCTCTCCATTTAAACCCCCGTCATTAGGTCCTCATTTTTCCCCTCCCTCCCCGCTCCCCCCTCCCGCATGAGCCCTTGATAGTTTATAAATTGGTATTTTGTCATATCTTGCCCTGTCCGACGTCTCCCTTCATCCACTTTTCGGTTGTCTGTCCCCCAGGGAGGAGGTCACACACAGTTCCATGTAATCGGTTCCCTCTTTCCTACCCATTCTCCCTTTACCCTCCCTGTTTTACCACTCATACCACTGGTCCTATAGGGCTCATCTGTCCTGGATTCCCTGTATTTTCAGTTCCTATCTGTACCAGTGTACCTCCTCTGGTCTAGCCAGTCTTGCAAGATCGAATTCGAGTCATGGTAGTGGGTAGTGGGGAGGAAACCTTTAGGAACTAGAGGAAGATTGTATTTCTCATCATTGTTACATCGCACCCTGATAGGAGATTATTTTTAGAAAGCTAGCTAAACCTTTAGCAGAAAAACTTCTGATAAAAGATTCAGTAGAATCTTTCACCATAACATTGCTCTGCTCATTGATTTCTCTCATCAAACACGAGCACATTTTTGAGAATTTCAAAGGGAAATAATTAGACATTGACCTTACACTCCTGCTTTTGCTTAGGCTAACTTTTTTTTGTTTTCTAATCTTAAAAAAAGGTTAAGGCATCCATCTTTTCCCCATTAATAATGTAAAAAAGACTACATTGTCATGGTTAAATTTGCAGTACCTTATGTTCTTTAGGATGGAATAAATGAATGACATCATTACTTAGAAAAATGTCTTGGATTTGGTGGAGTTTAGATTAAGAAATAAAGTTTATATTAATTTTTAACCTAAATTCAATTTTCTCATGAACTACATGAAGACCCATCATATGTATGAATGTTTCACACTAAGGTGTAATTGCCATATATACTTGTGGCTAAGTCAACTTTTTCAGCATATTTTTTTATGCAGTTTTGGTGGTCAAATTAGGTGCTTCGGCTGACATTTGGGTCAGGTTATACTCTAGTATATAGGGTATTATATTACATGGGGCATTATATTTTTAAGCTGTTCCTAAATAGGAGCACCCAAATTGTTTCAGGTCCTACACATCTTTTATCTTTCTCTGTGGATACCATAATCTTATAGGTGTCTCCCTTTTCCATAAACTGAAAATAGAAATTGATATGGCTGAAACAAGAGACTGTGAAGATACAAATCACATACAGGCATGCACACACACACGCAATACATTCGGGAACTGTCTATTTTATATCACCCAGTGCCTCAGTTCTTTTTATTAACACAAATGACCAAAGTAAAAACCCTGAAATGTAATGAAACAATTATAAATCAAAATCACATAAGCAATTACATGCTCCCAAAGCATAGGGGAAAGTGGGTGTTCTGCTGAAGCCAAAGAGCTTCTAAAACCCTAAAGAGCGTCCTTGTGAGCTAGTTTCTCCTATTGTGTTCACTATGGTCTTGTAGAGAAAGGGCTATGGAGCCCTATGCTGTGGAGCACATCATCTAGTGCCATCGCCCCCGCAGGTGAAACAGTGCAAAATAACAAAGGAAGAAGATTCTGATTACGGCTGGTTTGGTCATATCAACGCAAACAAAACATCTGATCCCATTATTGAAAATCTCTCTCTCTTCTTTTTTAACTAGGAGTCCTTTTCTACTGGTGAAGTGATGCCACTGGACTTGGTTCAGGGCAGGCTGGTTTGAAAGCACCACCTCTCTCTCTCAGTCCAGGGGATCCACTCTCATTGCCTGGACTACGTCTCACTGGCTGCCCATTTATACAACACAGGAGCTCACACTTCTTGAGTGCATTTGAAATAAAAAAAGTTTGATTTTGGTAATTCCCTAAATATAAAAGATTATACTTTTGTATAGTTTCTATTGTGCTTAAAAAGCAATTATAAAATATTATTTTATTTAATTCTGATCAAAACTGATGCTGAACATTCTGTTAGAACAGTATCTTTGAAATATTACTGTGATTAATTTCACGAGGGGTAAAGGGTGCATACCGAGTGTTACAAGCAGTATTTGATCACGGTTCCAACTTTTTGTTGTTGATATCCCCCCCACCTTTAAAAATATACTTCTTTGAATTCATATTTCAGCTTGTCTTCAGCTTAGATTAAAACTTGGTTGTGAAGAATATATTTACTTATAACATATGGAAACATAAATCTTTCTTAATAATAAATTGCTCAATGCAATGAATTTGAAAGTTATGTCAAAGTTATTTTCAATTACAAGAGCTCTGAGATAGTTTATTGTGCCAGCCTGGCTGATAAACACAAGTGGGATTAACTGAAGGTCAGAGAGATAAATGGCTTGGTGAGCCTTGCCTTTCTTGTCTCTCGCTCTGTGATCATCGGACCAGTGTGCGGCTGCCTTGCTTGTTCTGTGCCTCAATTTAAAGGCTACACTACCTGTGGGATGCCTAACCTGTGGACTGTGTCGCTGTAAGTTGAGGTCCCTTTAAGACATCTGTGGAGCTGGGGACTAGCGGTTGGTAACCTGCCTTGTGATTGGCTGCTGTGCTGACATAGCCTAGCTCTCTCTACAAATAGAGGAAGATCTGGCAGCAGACTAGACTTGAAGGACTGCTAGTCTCTCAATTTTCTCTCATGGATGTGAGTTGCACTGAGCCATTTGTAGTGCTTTCTAATTTAACTGTTTATTTTTTGTATTATATATTTATCTGTATATGATTTAAGTTCATTTCTTGTTATATATCTAATCATCTTTATAAAAATATATTAAAATATCAGCAATTTGGTTTTATCTCTCTAGAGAACCCTGTCTAACACAAGCTCTCAATATATAAAATTGATTATCTACCAAATGAAGTTTATAAAATTATTACTTTACATTTTGACTTTTAATGCATTTTAAAACATTAATTTACTCTAATCTACTAAGAAATGTGTGACTTTCAGTAGAACCAAAGAATCTGTTTTCACTGAAGACTAACTTAGAACATAAGACCGTAATCAAAGGCTCTTTTTGACACATTTTCTGTATGGTTTTAAAGAGAATTCATCCTCTATGAGTTGCTTACATCGTCACGAATGGAAAATGAAGTTTTATCAACTGACCATTCAACTTCGTGTGTGGTTGGTTTGGCCACATAAACAAGGTTCCCTACCTTCATCTCGATTTGTTTGGTGTCTAGATTCTGAAACAGCAGCTTTACTCGAGTTTTCCCGTCGTCTGAAGATCCCTTAAGCTGAGAGAATTTAAATCTCCAGAGCACGTTCTGTAAAGGAATGAAATCAATTAGTAATTCAGAAACAAGGGCTTGTTTATTTAATACATTAATTAAGCTATTTAAATAAATGCATACAAGTACTTACTACTTTATGTACATTTAATACATGAGAAATAGCAGGCTGACCTCATTTTTTTAATGTAAGCTTTCCTCTTCAAATCTCATCTACTTTTATTTTTCCACCCTTTTGTCAAGTCTCAAGTAACTGGTGCCACATATGATTAGCATCCATTGTCTTGTCTGCCCTCCCCACTTCGTGATGTTCTCTGGTATTTCTTGAGTTTTCCTGAACATAGCCTAAAAGTATTATAATATTGTTGCTATGATTTCTGCTTAGAAAACTAAAAAGAAAGAAGAAATAGAAGAGAAATCCACCACAATGACTTGTTCGTGTAATAGTATATGAGACATGTTCTAATGGAGTGCAGATAAAATGAAAAACTTTAATTATGACAGACAGCAACCCCATGTGTGCCTGTGCAGAAATCACCAAATTTGACTGAACCAATTTGAAAACTGTAGATAATACTACTCTTTCATACTATTGCAAAGATTACTGTGTTTGCTGCGGTACTTTATAGATTAAACATAGTATACACATTGAAAGAAGGAAGAGAAACATACAACCCCACCAACCAACTAACCAAACGAACAAACAAAATGCACCTCCCTTCCAAAGAAACAAAACAATTTGGTGTACATATTAACCTTGACGGAAACTGCCTTTCGAAAAAGCATGATCAGTGTTTCACACAACCATGTGCCCAGATCTCCCAAGAGCATTTCTCAACTTCTCAACACGACTCTCCGTCCTTCTTACGGCATCTCCTATGCATAGCCTTGGAAGGCAACCCAAGGTGGTGGTGATTTCAGCCTCTTAAATTTAGTAAGTGGCTCAAACCTTATTTACCTTTAGAATGATCTACTATATAAGCTTCCTTTTAAAAAATGTGGACATACATGTATGTAGCATCAAAAGAAACCATAGAAATCGTTCTAGTCAATGTTTTTACCAAATTCTTCACAAAATCAACATGCTCAAACTATTTCTCCATGAGCAGCAAGAACTCAGTATTCGGTTCACATGTGATAGTAAATAAAGGTGTTCAATATTGGTAGAACCCCAGGAATCACTCTCAGTAACACCTAAACATTATATGACACACATTTGATAAAGTACTATATACAAAAAAGTACAAAAATACCTACACAAAACTCATGTTTATTGCTTATAGATTTCAGATTATTCTCACCCATAACTGTTTCAGTACACTTATATTATTACCCTTTTTAGTATTTCATTTTCAAATAGCAGCTTTCCTACATTTGTGGATATGAGAAACATGATACCTTGTAAGATATTCACAGTTTTGCTTGCTTAAAATGAGGTATTAATTTTGTACTACTGTCCTTATTTAGAGTGATGAAAAGACAAGTCATATCATCAGATTCTTGGAAGCCCACATTCAGATGAAGTGTTTCAGAATATTCAAAAGAGGTGGGGTTGGTGTAGCTAACAGGCATCACACTGTTCATTCCATTTCTTTATTTACACAGAGGACCATTGGTATAGAGGCAAACACTTCAGCAGAGAAAGAAATTTCTTTCACAATTATTGATTTTCAATTTACTTACAGTATTCGCTCAAGAAAAGTTATAAATGGATCCTTGGTTTTTTGTGTTTTTTTGGTCTGTTCTAGTCTTGTATGTTTATATATATAGGGAAACTGGAATGTGTACAATTATAAAGATAAAAACAAAATTGATGATTACTTGAGAACATGGAAAACATGGGAGAAATGGGGAGTGAGTGCAAATTGATGTGTACAAGAAGGTAGAAGTGATTGTAAAGTTTGACTGTGGAATGGTTGCACAGCCCTTCTTGATATGACTGAACTTTTGAAATGTATATTAAGTATAGCTGAATTTTTACAATTCTGAACAGTTTTGAATTAATTTGGATGGGTCATGAATATTCCAAGAACTTTATAAAAGCCTATGTTTATCCTGATTTTGTTTTAATTTTGGACAATTAAATAATTTTCCCATGGGTTAGGCAGTTTAAAAAACCATTGTAGAGGTAAGTTTGGAATATGACGGGAACTCTTGTGAGGCAAAAATGGCTATGTGATGAATGACTATCAGAAACTTTGGTGATTTGCATCTGTATGGCTTTGGCTCTAGAGAGTCCTGGAGACTGGGTTTCCGAAAGGTGACAGTCAATCAGATCCTATGCAACAGTCTCCTCTGCACCAACGGCCTCCCCCATCACGGTCAGAAACGACGTGGTGATAACTGGCTGTTGTTTCTCAGTTATATGTTTTATTAAGCATGGTGATGTTTAAGTTTTACTTTTATGATTACAGATTGTTCATACTCTTGGCTCACTTCATTTGTAACATATATGAATTATTAAAATAATGACAGAGGAACGTAATCATTGCATCCTCCATTGTAATAACTCAATTAGCAGCAGTAGAAGGTTCATGAACCCAAAGCAGGAGGTGTCCCTTACTTTTAGAGCAGAATTCCTTTCTAATAGCATTTTCCTGTGTCATTATGGAATGGGTTTTTTGGGTGTCCAAAGTCAAGGCTTCAATTTCTGTCCTCCAAGAAAGTCCGTTCTGTGCACCATTTTTTAAAATTGATATTTCAGTTCACCTAAAGCAGTTTTATCTCACCCCTGTATGATTTTGGGGTTCCAGGCTAATGGGGTAGATTGAGCACTAGAACATTCCAAGGAGGATCCGTGTCATCATCGCAAATAAAGAAATATCGTTTTGATGGTGTGTGTCGGACATCCAGATGGTACCAGGGAAATGTGGAGTAACATCCAACATTCAGAAGCAAGGTCACTTTGTCAATATGCCTCCAAGGAATAAGTAAAGATAGAAAACTGTCCCTTTGATTCTGTGTCTCCAATAACCCTTTCTATCCAGAAGTAAGCGGGACCCGGATTCTCAGACTCATGGAGGCTAGCAAGGCCAAAACACAAAGCAGAGGCTTCTTCCGAGGCTTCCCATCCTCCTCTTTCACTTTCATTACTTGTGTGCTGCCAAATTTTTACCCTTCCTGCAGTCGGTTCACTGGCCTCCTTCGCTTTCTGTTTTCAAATTCTTGCTGACATTCTTTCCCGCTTCCGCTTAATTATTGACAGAATTAGGACATCTGTTCTAAACTAGATTGAGAAAAAAAAGAAAGTAAAGATAATCATCCCAATGCCTAAGTTTCTTTGACATAAGTTTGGGAAAATGGGCCAATGAAATGTGTCCATCGGGGGAGAAATGTATTTCATTCTAGCATGAAGTCAGGGCAGTGTGGGGCAGATGGAATCACATCCCATTGTCATTCTCTTTTATTCTGATGAAATCCTTTAAACTACCCTCACTCTAGGGGGAAAATGTAACAGGTTTCTCATTTATTTTGTAATTTCAGAAATAAATGTCCTTTGTCAAACACGCTTGCCCTTGCCAGTTCCCATCTTCTTGGCTTATTTCCTTTTTTCCAGTGTTGTAAATAGTCTACAATGAATATATTAACTATTGGACGTAATTAAATGACTTTTTTTTCCTGGCAAGTAAAGAAGTAAGAAAACTGACCACGTATATGCAACCACATGTATTCTTCTAATGAAGCTGTTCCTGCAGGCAGGCAGCATCAACATTTGGACAGTCATCAAACCCAGGGTCTCTTTTCTTAGAAGCATTTGGCAAAACACATTGTGGGTCTAATTGTGCTCAAGAAATAGTACACAGAAGCTCTGAACGAATAGCATAATGTCATATAGGAAGACCAATGATCTTGTAAATAAAAATAGAGTAAATACCTATGTAAATATTGCTTGGTCCCCAAATCTCTATTTTCTTATATTGACTTCTAAAAGCACATAAACAAACATTATGGTCAAAGTTATTGAGATTTAACTATGTTCCAGTAAGAGTTGACTATATATTCATGCTGAACTTAGAAACATGATAAACAGAATAAAGGTAAGTAAATTAAGGGAAAGTTATGAATTGTTTTTGTTAGCTGCCATTGAATTGGTTCCCACCCATAGCGATCTCCAGCGTAATCAAATACTGCTTGGCCCTGTGCCTTTCGCACATGCTTGAGCCCACTGTTGCAGCCACGGTGTCAATGCATTTTCATACGGGTCTTCCTCAGGAGCACGCTTGAATGACGAGCTTATACATTCCTAATTGACTGGTATAATCCTAACAATTTATCTGGCACATTTGTTCCTTTAAAAATTTATTCAAATAGTTTCAAATTCCACAAATAAATAAATAAGCAACATATGCAGCAAATCTTAGGCATTTTAATATTTATATTCAATCATGTCTGTGTCATTTTCAGTTGCTACCTGAACATGTAAATGAAATGAAGCAGCAACCACAAGCACCATATGAAATCAATAGTTCACCATCAGAAGAAATGTCTTAGAGAGTATAAATGTCTGAAGGTACAAGTGAGCAAAAAAAATAGTGGGGAATGAGTGCAAAGCCTCTCCACCCCCACCGCTAATCAACTTCACTTCCCCAGTATTAAGTGGGGAGAGGCTGAGAGGGAAACTGACACTGAGGATACACAGGGCTCAGAGCCCTGGAACTGGGGAGAACCCCAACTTGCTAATTGCACACTGTCCAGGTTGGGGAGACTTGGGTCTACAGTGAACCAGCCAGCATCCGGCGGGTTCTCAAGGGTGGTTGGGTTTCCTGAGAGTATCCAGAGGATTGACCAACTCCGAGTGGGTATAAAATCAAGAGGGCAAGTATTGGGAGGGATTAGTTTCTCATTTGTGGGTGAAAGATTTCCTTAGGGCTCAGAACTTAAAGTACTAACTAGAAATTGGGCCCATCCTGTACAGGCCCCACAGCAGGACATGGTTTTTATGAATGGTCTAATTAGTTGCTTCTCTTCTCTCAGCATATTGGTTTGATATATACCATTGCTGGGTACCCCTGGGGACTTGGAAATCAACCTCAAGA